ACTCTCCTAGCTGACCCACTTGAATTTTATTCATAAAACTTAGAGTTACAAGAAAGACAATTTTGTCCCTCATAGAAGATGGGACACATAACTTAAACTCAGATACAATAGACMTTTCACTTTCAAKAAGATACAYCAGAATGACCAAAATACCCCTGACTTGAGCATTCTAACAAGTACCAATATGTAGGACAAGGTTCAAAGTATCAATACACCCTGATTGTCAGTTTAAGCAAGAGAAAGAGAGAAAGAGATGAAACATCAGAGAAGTGAGACTGTTTAGTTGGCTTGTCTTGGTTGATCCAACTCAGTAATGATGTATTTGTATTAAATAGTAAATGGACAAAATTGTCCTTAAAAAGGAGATGAAATATAGGATTGTACAACTTAGCACTATAGAGTACATGCCTAATAATATACATACAAGAAAGGGATAAAATGACAAAACTATCCCTTTTCTCTACACTCCCCCTCAAATTGATGCCGGGGAACAAGCATTGGTTTGTCCATAAGAAAATTATGTCTGGCCCTAGTCATGGCTTTGGCGAAGAAGTCAGCGAGCTATAGGCCAGAAGAGACATGTGGGAGAGAGTTTTGACCAACAAGAAGGAGATTCCTAATGAAATAGCATCCCACCTCAATGTGTTTTATATGCTCATGGAAGACAGGGTTGGATGCAATCTTGATGGCACTTATGTTATTAACAAAGAGTGGAATGAAAGATGAGTGATCAATAGCTGATAAAAACAAAGATGAGTGATCAATATCCATATCATGAAGTAGGGCTTTGAACCAAATTATCTTATTGCATACAGAGGACATTGCTCTAGGCTCCGCTTCAGTAGACGACTTGGAGGTAGTTTGTTGCTTCTTGCATTTCCAAGAGACCAAGGAATTTCCTAGAAAAATACACCAACTGGTAGTAAAGTGGTGAGTGTTATGACAACCTGCCCAATCAGCATTAGCATAAGCTCTAAGCAACATAGTGGAATAGGATGAGAAGAATAGTCCATGGGACAATATTCCCCTAACATAACGGATGATCCGAAGAACAACAAAGAAATGTCGCTGATGTAGTGTAGAAATGAACTAGCTAACAATCTGAACTGTACAAGAGATGTCCAGTCGAGTCATAGTCAAGTAAATAAGACTACCCACAAGCTGCCCATACAACGTAGCGTCCTCTTTACTTAATTTAGGGATGAGTTCAAGAGGAATCTCAACTTGTTTGTAGTTAGATATATGTGCCATTTGCACCAAATCCATGGC